TGAGCTCAAACAATCCGCCCGCCTCGGCCTCCCAGAGTGCTAGGATTACAGGCGTGAGCCACCGCACCCGGCCTAAAATAAAATATTTTTAACTCAGCAATTTAAATCCTAAGAATTTATCTTAAAAATCTCCTAAATGTACAAAATGTATCCATAAATGTATAAATACAAAGTTCATTACATTTATAATAGCAAGACTGCAATAATCTAAATGCCCAAACACGTGAGTATAAGCCATTAACATGATATAGATTCATATTAATTATAATTGAAAGCTGAACATAATGCTGTATATTAATTTTTATAAGTTATAATAAATAGTATAACAGTTTATTCCTATTCCGTAAAAAAAAAATTAAATAACATATATGCACATAGAAAAGTCTGGAAGACTATAAATGAAAATGTATCAAGGTACAGTGGTGTGAACCTGTAGTCCCAGCAACTTGGGAGGATCACTTGAACCCAAGAGTTCAAATCCAGCCTGGGCAACACAGTGAGACCCCATCTCTAATTTAAAAAAAGTAAAAAAAAAATTGTTTTTAATGTAACCAGTAGCTATTTGCTAGTTAGTGGGATTATAGGCCTTTATTATCTTGCTAATAATTCTCTATGTTTTTTTCAATGAGTATATATTACTTTTAGAATCAAAAAAATGTTTTGAAAGACTAAAAATGTGTTTAAAGCACATAAAGAAAATTCCTGAAGATTCTTAGAATTAATCAGAGATACAAGCACATTTTCATTTTCCACAAGGCTGAGTAAGACCTGTTTTTAACACAGTGTAAGCAAATGAAGGTATGAACTTACTCATCATCTTGGAAGCTAAGCTGTAACTTCTCTCTTGGTTCAGCATCACTCTGGCTGCTGGGAGATGATCCGGATGGAACTGAAAACCTCCCTTCTACTAAGTAAGATGCCTGGATATCAGGATACCTACACAAAAAATTGTTTTAATTGTTAAGAATTAAATTACACACATTTAAATTTCACCATGACATAGGGCTGCGTGATAGTAAAACCAACCACCAGCTGGTAAAACAAATAGGGTCCCCTGTATTCAAAACTATCATCCTCTGTGCAAAGCACAGAACCTGTGGATCAGCAAGCAATGGGATGTTTATCTGTATTCAACAATACAGTCAAAAATCTTAAAGCTAAAAGAGCTTAGAGAGTTAATCCAACTCCTTGATCCCAAAGGTAAAAAGATGACACTATTCACCAAATGTTTAGGTTGAGAAAAGATGGGAAGCAGTTAGATATTTAAACATGGGCAAACTTTACATGTTACCCAAGACCCTATATGTAATGGGTGTGTGAAATGCACACATCACACTTGGAGATAGAAAATAGGGTATATTTAACCAAATAGTTATCTGGTTATAAAACTGAAATAAGGTAAGTCAAGAAAATAAAATCTAGTTTAGTTCCTAAGAGAGAAAATTTACTTTGGGAACTGAAAGTTATCACAATAAGAGCTCAGGTACTTTAGAAGTAACAACAGACTAAAGGCTGAAAGAGAAAGACAGCCATGTAAGTCCAGTAAACAGTGAACCTTGGTCAGGCGCGGTGGCTCACGCCTGTAATCCCAGCACTCTGGGAGGCCAAGGAAGGATTGCTTGAGCTCAGGAGTTTGAGACCAGCCTGAGCAAGAGCGAGACCTCGTCTCTACTAAAATTAGAAAGAAATTTATCAGACAACTAAAAATATATAGAAAAAATTAGCCGGGCATGGTGGCACATGCCTGTAGTCCCAGCTACTTGGGAGGCTGAGGCAGTAGGATCGCTTGAGCCCAGGAGTTTGAGGTTGCTGTGAGCTAGGCTGACGCCACGGCACTCTAGCCGGGCAAAACAGTGAGACTCTGTCTCAAAAAAAAAAAAGAAAAAAAAAAAAAGGGGAGACCCTGTCATAGCTCTAAACACATTCAGTGACCCAAAATCCTAGACACAGATGACTGGATTTGGAATGGACACCTAACTCAAGCTGTACCAGTAATGTGTAAGATTTTAAGAGAGAGTTCATTAGTCTCCTTGTGTAGCTAGAAATGTAATCCACAGATGTCTTTTGAGAGTTTGTGTTGCCATGTTGTGCAACATGAAACAGAAAAGCAGATAAACCACTGTGTTGAAAGAAAGAATGAAAGAGTTACAAAGAAGAAGTGTGAGATGACAGAAATCTAAGTCCTGATGGCTTCCCAGATCCCGACTTCTGTCCCTTGTTTTGACACAGCTCTGCATTCCTGCCCTTGATTTCATGACATACTCCTATACCCTTATAATTAACTTCCCTTTTGGACTTTGCTAACACAAATTAGTTTACATTTTCAGCCATTGATAAGACTGAACTAATACAAATCCAAAACACTACAGACAGAAAAAACAATATTTAGTAGACTAAAAAAGGTCACTGGTACTCAAATCCCAAAACCATCCAATGATAAGAAAATGGAATGGGGAAAAGACAGCAAGTTCTTTTTCTATATTCATTTTACATATTTGGCCATCTCCTTCACAGATAAAGCAGATAAAAGCTTCACAGTTTGACTGAGAAATTTTACATAAGTATCAGTATGTTGTAGGTTTTATGGACCTAGAAAAGAAATCTGCTCAAAGTCTTACCTGTCATCAGTGCTGGATCTATTTCTAGCAAGCGTGGAAACAGCAACAGGCAAGCCAAGATTTGAAGAAAGAGTGACATTTTCTAAAGTCCCACTATTACCAAGTAATGAATTAGTTAAAAAGCTTGGAAATGACTCCTCTGCTATCCCTCGAAAATTTTCCATCTCACTGCAACAACAGAAATACTTTTATAAATCAAATATAGTAAAACATTTTTAAATGATTAAGAGTACAAGTCTCATAAATCTTAGAAAACTGATAAATCTTAGGAAAAAATCGTTTTTTTGGAACATCACTATGAGAAGATACTACTGGCAAATATTCTGTGATAAAGAAATTCTTAGAATACTTTGCTACTTTATAGCTGAGAATATAAACATCAAACAAACTTATCTTATAATTAGCACAATAACGAAATACAACACCATTTAATTTACCCTTGGCTTGGTATAGCAAGGAAATGTGAATTACTACAAACGTATCTAGTAAAGCCGGCAAAGATGGCGTAACACTGACGGTATATACACATGATTTTAGGGCATATTTAAAAGTTTGGCAGTTATGTACTCATTTTAATATGGAATAGAAAAAACAGAATGAGCAAAATTTAGCTCCTGATTTCAGAGACTATTGTGAAGAATGAATATACAGTTTAAAAAGTGAGCCCATTCAAAGAAAAAGGTATAGTTGGCACACAGACAAGCACAAATGATAAAAGTGGTACACAAACAACTAAGTCTGGAAAACACAAAATCTATACCACGCTGGCCCTTGGTTCAACTTGATCCTAACCACAATGCTCTAGAGATGTTAGCCAGTCTCAAGAATCTTTCAGAGTACATATCATGTAAACACTGTATAGAATTCAGGGAAGAAAATATGAGGGGGAGAACAAAAAGATAAATATATTAGGAAATGCTCGAAAAATGCGGGGTTGTTGGCATAGTACCTTAAAGAATGAGAACTTTTACAGACAGTATGAGATGAGTTTTTTAGGATGACAAATAAATGAGAAAAGGGTAAAGACAATTAAAATGTATTGCAAACCTACCACCTTAACTCATTGAATCCATAGAAAACCTTAGTAGGTAATATCCCATTTTACAGATGAAAAATAAACTCAAGAGAGTAAATTAGCTAAATTTTCCCAGATCTGACTCCAAAATTGACTCCAAGTGCAAAGACAGCAAATACTTCGGTGTATTTTGGCAACTGACATACAAAATAACACGGTAAATGAAACTAGAGTAACAGAATGGAGCCAGGTCCTAAAAGTCTTAAATGGTTTATTAGGAAGTTTGGACTGTATTCTGCAATGGACGAAAGGACGGATACAATCAAAATACAGGATAGGAAGGGAGAGGACTTAAAGCCTGGAAGACTATTCAAAGAACTACGATAATTCATCAGAGTCAAGAACAGATTAAAGTATAGATTTCAGATAGCATGGACTAGTTTAATTACTCTATGAAGTAGAAAAAGTTTAAAACCACTACAGAACTGTAAAACTTACCTGATATGGATGGAGCGTCGATGCTCCTGTCTGAAGCCCACCCCTCCCCTTCACACTCGGTCCCAACCCCTCTCACGCCTGTACCCGCGCTCACTCTAGCAACCGGCCCCTTTCTTAACACCACCAAGTCTTCTCTGTGCGACCCTTCCCACACTGTGCAGGTTGCTAGTTCTCCCATCTTTTAAAAAAGCCTTCCACACACCCCATCCTCTCCTTCGGCTGCCACCACACCTGCCCGTGCTCCCTTCACCACGTGCTCCCCAAAAGGAATCCCAACTGGCTACCCAGCTCCACTCCTGTCCTCCCCTGAACCCACCCCGCTCCGGCTTCTGTCCTACTGCCCCACCAAAAATGCTCATCAACATCGGCACTGCTCTCCCTGTTGCCAAACCCTATAACGCTGTGGTCACTGTTCAGTTCTCATCATCAACCTAAGAGAACAGATCCAGATGACTATTCCTTCCTTGGGGAAATACTTTCATCACTTGGTTTCCACGTCACAGATGTCTGGTTCTCCAACTGCCCAGCTGCTTCTTTTCCTTCTCCGTTGTTGGTTCCTCCTTATCTCCGGGACCTCCATACAGCGGAAGGCTCCAGAGCTTGGTCCTTGATCTCCTCCATCTACCCACCCTCTCTGGGTGACTGCCCTCAATTTCAAACCTTTAAATATCATATGAAATTTACACCTCCAGCCTGGGCCTCTCTTCTGAACCTCAGATATTCAATCGCCTACATGACTTTTCCACTTAGATGTCTAGCAGGCACCTAGAACTTGAATCTACAGTCCACCTTGTTCCCCCACCCCAGAAAAGCCTGCTCTTCAGTCTTCCCCACCAGAGAAAATGACAACTCCAGCCTCTAGTGCTCAGGCCAAAACCGTAGGCATCACCGACTCCTCTCACACACCCCCATGTGCAATCCCCATGCAAATCCCAATGGCTATGCTTTAATGACATGCCCAGAACCTTGCCCTTCCTCACTGCCCCCTCTACTACCACGTGAGTCAGACCACCAACACCTCCTGTGACACTCCTGACACTCACTGCAACAGCCTTCCAACCATCTCCATGGCTCCGTTCTGCCTCCCGGAGGCTACTCACCACACACTAAAGTCAGCTCTGTAAAATGAGTCAGATATCACTCACCACAAACCCTCCTTCCACTGGTTTCCCACCACATGCAGAGTAAAAGGCAAACCGGAGCCTGGATAATCTCTGGCGTCATCTCCTGCTACTCTTCTCCCTTGCTCATGCCATTCCAGCCATCCTGATCTCCCTGCTGTCCCTGAAGCATGCTAAGCAGGCTCCGCTCCAGGGCTTTGGCCCTGGCCTCTGACCAGCCCGACGCACCAGGGATCCACACATCTTGCACCTTGCCTTCTTTCGGGTCTTGGTGCAAATGTTCACTTGACTGTCAGGCCTTGCCTCATCAACCTACAGAGGTGAACATGGCACTCTCAACCTCCCTGCTCTGCTCCCTTTGTTCTATAGTACTGACCACCAGCCAGCATGCTACTAATATATATTTCACCTGCTTATCTGTTTTTCCTCTCACATTAGAACATAAGCTCCATGAGGGCAAGACTTCACCCACTGGGTTTACCACTGCATTCCTATGTAGAACTGTGCTAGCACAGAGGAGACCCTCAATAAATTTGCTGAGTGGATGAATGAATGTTTTCGACCTACGTCAACATACAGCAAATCCATCAGCAACCATCTGAGCACTCTGCTCTCAGACCATGCCCCAGCACTTTCCTCTCTTCCATATTTTAACTATTCTCTCTTCTTGATTTCCATAAACAAGTTCAAAACTCTCCCATGTTAGGATGGAGGAAGCAGAAAACAGCCTGCCTGATCCTTCGTTTGCACTTCCTGCCACCTTACCTTTCCTTCACAGCCAAGCCTCTTAGAACGCTCCACAGTCACTACTCACACATCTCACCTGACCTCCTCGTCCTCTGTCTGCTCCTCAATGCTAGGGGTAGCCAGAATTCTGCCCTCAGGCTTTGCATCATGCCATTTACATCTTATACACTAAGGAGCTCAAACTAAGGCACAAATGTTGCCAGGAAACAGGACAATAAGGACCACGGTCAGCTGGAAATTACAGGCCCCACATGAAGCCAGTAAAATTCAACAAAACACTACTGCCGAACAAAACATATCTACTAGTAGAGTCTGTTCCCGAAGGCAAACCATGTCTATGTTCAAAACACACCCTGAAACATTCCAAATCTTTCTCCACTACTATTACTCTACCCTACTGAAAAGCTTCCTCACCCTTCTCCATGCTTCTATTCTTGTCACCCTACAATTAATTCTCCACACAGCAGGCAAAAGGACCATTAAGGTACCATCAGCCAATCAAAACTCTGTGAGCCCTGTCACCCTCTCCCATCCCTCTCAGGCTCACCCACCATGTACTGGATTTTCTGTTCCTAGAACACTCCTGAAGCCTAGAATATTACTGTCCCAGATCTCTGCATAGCCAGCGCTTTCCTTCCTGACATTCACGTCAACTTAAACATCACTTTCTAAGAGAAGTTATCCCTTGTCATTAAGTCGAATGTAGGCCCATACTCTATCACATCCATTTTAATTCCTTCCAGCATCTATCATTATTTATTCTTGCGTTTGTTTTTCTTCTTCCACTAAAATGATTGTCTACTAAGAGCAAGGGCCTTGCCTCTCTGTCCATTACTATTTCAACACCTAAAACAATGCCTACCACAGAGTAGGTACTCAATAAATATTTGCAAAATGAATGAATGAGGACAGTCTCAGTGGGTGGCCTCATCTTTAAGTTTAACCCCTATGTATTTAGAAAGGCAGTTTCTTGGGGAAATGTCTATCTTGCTCACCCACATATTCTCAGTACCTGATATACAGATGGGAATAGGAGTTGAAAAAAAATGAATTGAAAGGAATAATCTATAACCCCCAGCTAGCTTGCTGATATTCAGTGGCTATTATCAAGTAATGTACTAAGTATTTTATATACATTTTTCTAATCCCCGTGTCAAATTTGTAAGGTAACCATTTTATCCCCACTATTGAGGAAACCGAGACCGAGAGAGGGAATGAAGAGGCTTTTCCAGGCCACAAAGTACAAGTGAGAGCAGAGGATTCCTGCCCAGGCAAGCCTAGCCCCAGACTATCCTTTCCTCTGCACTGATGCCACTGCTCTCACCTTCAAACCACCTTCAGCCCAGACCTCTGTGTTCTAGACCTGTACAGCCAGCCCTCCCTAACTGTGGGTTCTGCATCTGTGGATTCAACCAATCACAGATCAAAAATATTTAGAAAGGCCCCAGTCACTGAACCGCCACCGAGGACTCAGCAGCCTCCCCCTTGAGCCCCCTCGCTTCCCGACACTCCGTCCCCCCCGCGCGCCTTCTCCGAGGAATCGTATCGTATGTCCGCTATCCAGAACCTCCACTCTTTCGACCCCTTGGCTGATGCAAGTAAGGGTGATGACCTGCTTCCTGCTGGCACTGAGGATTATATCCATATAAAAATTCAACAGAGAGGCCGGGCGCGGTGGCTCATGCCTATAATCCTAGCTCTCTGGGAGGCCGAGGTGGGTGGATCGCTCAAGGTCAGGAGTT